GTGCCATAGCTTGATCTATGTTTCTATCAAATATGTTAAGTATAAACTTCATTCATACTGGCCAGAGAAATACTGCACTGCCCCTCCTCAAGAAAGTGCAACTTAATGCTTTAGGACTTATAAGGCTTGTTATAATGCTGCATGATGATTGAATATTGGCATTTTTCAGACAAAAGGAGGAGGCAGTTAAGTCATCTACATCTTAGTAAACCCATTTTGAAAAAAAAAAATCAAGAAAGCAACAAAATCAATCAGCTCTGTCACACTACTTGCAATTTTCTCATTTGATGGTTTTTGAACTTTGTTTTTTTTGTTTTTGTTTTTTTCCAAAAATCTGACCATGTATTCAGAAACGCCTCACTGCACACTACTTCGGCTACACATGTAGGTAACACTTTAATCATTTTGTTAAATCACAGCCACTTTGATTATGTTATGTTTCCGATGATATAAACATTGGAAGGCACAGTGGTAACATTGTAGCATTCTAACCTTGTACCTCTGAAAATCCCAGAAGAGGGTCCCAAACGCAACATTACATTTCAGACACACTCTTTTTGCCATGTCTTGGTAATGCTGCTTGTAATATCTACACATGATGTGACTTTTAAGTCCTGTGTTCCCAAAAGACTGGAGAAACAACTTTCTACTTATTTATGAATGAAAAGCAACATCAGGGTCAGCATTTCATCCTGCACCACCCCTCCGGAAGCAGAGTTGGCACTACAGGTTACGATAACAAACCGGGGAAAAGGGACAGAAATAAGACCAAAAAAAAAAAAAATCCATATTTACAGTAAAATCTTTCTTTTAAAAAAGTTAATCAGTACTATTTTTTTACAGGAGAAAAAAGTCTGAAACAAATGAACAAAAGCTTACCATAGTCACTAAATTTTTAATATATATTTATATATATATTTATATATATATTTGTCATAGGTCTATAAGATCCATCTGTTCCTCCTACCCTAAGGAATGGCTAATGTCATCACTTCGTTGTCATCAGGACGTTTGCTGGTTTTGTTACTAGGGCAGCCGGGCTTCCCTTATTCAATATCCAGTAATTACAAACACTAGCTGACTTGAATACCAACAAAAACGTTCATGTAGTTTTCTTCAGAAGTACACTTTTTCATTATTGCAAGTTTACAATTTTTTAAATTAAATATTTTTTTCAGACTTACAAATTAATTATATTTTTTTTTCCAAAAGAAGTTTAGGCACAAATGCATTGTTCCACAGTGTGGAAAGATTGCCATTCAGTCTCTGGGCTGCGTCTCAGCCTGCACACACCGCTTTGCACATTCTGAATGATATGTTAAAGAGAGTCGCCCCTCAAGTTGCACTTTTTTCTTTCTTTTTTTTTTTGTTTGTTTTCTGTTTTTTGATAATTGGGAATGCTGAAACCTCTTGCGTCTGCGATTCATAACTACTCAGACTTGTCTTATATTACAAAAAAGGGGTTAAGGAGAAGTGTTTATGTGGGTTTAAGATAATACAGCTGTTAAGGAAGTGGTCTCTTGTATTAATGAAGCAATGTGGCAACTTGGACCTGAGAAGGGAAAAAGAGAGGAAAATTAATTAATACGCTTGTAACAGAAGAAGTAAATGCTTTATTTTAAAACTCTCCCTTTTTTTTCCCCCAAATTATCTATGAATTTGGGCAAGATGTGACTTTTATGGCTGAAGCCTCCCTCGGTGAAAGCGCAGAGGAGAGAATGCAGAAACAGCGGAAACCAACTTGCCCTTTTACATCTGTCCCATGTGATTTGATGCGTCTCCCATTCCAGGGTGAGGGCCTGCCAGGGAGAGTGGGGGAGGCTCCGAGGACACCTTTTCTTCCTCCCTTCTCTTCAGACACGCCGCTTTCGGGTTCAGATTCCTTTCTGTGGGAGAGGGAAGCACAGAGCACTGAGTCCAGGTCAGCCTTCGGGCAGAGGCGTCCCGTGTCCACTGCAAACGCGTGGACAGCACAGACGGGCAGGGCGGGGAGACTCGCTCCCCACTGCAGCCGCTCAGGGGTAGGCGCTCGCAAGAGCTGAACTGCCTGGCGGGTCTGCAGTCATTTCACAGCATAAAACAGCCAAGCAAGGATGCTAAGCCCCGCAGCCCTCGTCATGCCATGGGAGGGATGTTCTGGGCCAAGCGGCTGAGTCCACGCCCTGCTGCCCAGGGCAGTGGCCGCAGCTCATTCCCGCTGCCACCGTGATGCCGCGGGCGGGCACCTGCCACTGACCTCGGACTTGCTGCTCCAGGCTGAGGATGACCGCCACGGCCTGGTGGAGGATCAGGAGCTTGGTCTGGGGCTTGTCGCTCTTGAGGTGGAGCTGCACCATGCGGCCGAGCTCCTTGAAAGCCTCGTTGATGTCGCGCACCCTTAGGCGCTCGCGGGCGTTGTTGGCCATCCTCCGCTCCTTCTCGCGCTCGGCCTTCTGCTCCGGGGTCAGGTCCTCGTCGTCGTTATTGCTGCGGGACGAGAGGGAGCGACATTTTCTAATGGTGTGGGGAAAAAGAAGGCATGCAAGTCACTGTTGTCTTCCTCCAGAGTCTCCAGGAACTTCTCCATCTGAAGCTGCTGTCCTAGGCAGAATTTTACCTCACCGGGGCTGGGGGCTGTTTGGAAGGCTGTGACTGTCCGTGCTCAAGCCACCTGGCTTTAAGACAGGAAACCCAAACTAAACAGCGGAGGCTGGAGAGAGAGAGGGCCAGGTGTGCCCCTAGAGATACGGGCAGAGCGGGACCGCAAAGCTTTTATCAAGAAGGCTTCACTCTGCAGAGCAGGCACCAAACAGGCAGCTTAGCTTAAACTACACTGCAGGGCCACATCTCAGAACGGTTTTAGACTGAAGCTGTTTTTTTTTTTAACGTTTATACTGTAATATCTTGAAACGTCAAGAAAAATGGTGATTTGGAAAATTTTTGGTAAGTCAAAATAAACATAATGCATCTTAACAGTTGTCAGAAGAATGTCACAAAATCAAGACCCAGTGAAGGTGGGCCTTGTCCAGCTTTCACTGTTAACTATCTGTGAAGACCTGGTCCGTGCACTTAACCTATCCGAGTCTCATTTTCTCCATGCAGTAAGTACACAGGGTAAAACACATGATCTTCACAGCCCTTCACTTTGTCAATGTTTAATGTTCCCTAAAACAAGTTGAGAAAGCTGAGTTGACAGCAGCTATGGGGAAGAAACAAAAGCCAAATACCAACTGGTGATAGATGACCACACCCTCACTGTGATTAAAAAATGAAGCCAAAAAGCTATTCTGTGATAGTGAGGACTGAAATGTTATATGATTCAGATCAAAGGCATAGTTCGATCCAGTAGAGTCTGGAAAGGCAAGATTGCTTCTGTCTGTTCCTGGATGTCATGCTGACAAATCAGAAACTTTTGAATGGAGGGCAAACAGATAAGCCATCTGGAAAGCATAGCATAAAAAGAAGGTTTCATGGCATCAGGGCTTCCAATATTTTGAGGGCTATCATATTAAAAAAGAGGCGTGCAGCATGGCAGGAAAAAAAAAAAAAACAAAACACAAGTAGAACAGTCTGCATTAACACAAACAAGAACATTTTTGAGGTATAGAGATATCAAAAAATGAAGAAATTGTCGCCAAAAAATAACTGACTCCCCATTACAAGGAAAAAATTACAGATGTGCTTATCTCTAAGGTGATTAACCTGGCGCTCCAAGCCCTGATTGAAAGGCTCATAAATACTCAGAGAATAAAGATTTTATCCTAACATTTCAGTGCTGGAGGTGTCCTTCTACAACACGTAGGACGTTATCTTGTCAATTCATTGTACACTTAATGAACGCAGGCTTAAAATGTCTGGCTCTGCATCTTCCGTTTGGAATATCTCTGGAAAATTTCCCAATTGCAACCAACCACAATTGAGAAAGCCCACTTAATCAAAACATGCTGCACAGAAAGATGACATACGTAAGGCAAGAACACTGGTAAGGGAAGTTGGAGAATGACACCAAGGAAAGACACCCTAAGATGTGACTGATCTTCCTATAGGTAAAACTCCCCTCCAGATGGGGTTGTCTGCCCTTCGTACACGTGTGCTGGTGACCATGCAACTAAGCTGAATCAATTAGAAAATGCTCTTTTTCCGCCATCCAATCCTCTTCAATCCCTCTATGGACCCCTCTCCTACTTCTTTCTCACCCATGGCCTCTGCTGATGCCTGATGCCAAGGAAACCAATGTTACTATTAATTTGCATCCACGTTCCACTACATAGATAGGAGGTAATCAATAAAAAGAAGATAGAGCTGAGTCTCTGCTGGACCACCCTGAAGTCAAACATTTGGGGAACATTTTTATATGTTAATGATGTTGTATGCCTCCCATTAAGTGGACTTGGAAGTGGGAACTTGTTTTGCAAAGGTAACTAATAAGAGTTGGTTATTCATTTAAAAATAAATTGGTTAGACAAATAAAACTGCCTAGGTTTGAAATGTATTGCCTTATGACATAGTTTTGTAAGCATAAGGAAATGTCATAAGAGTGACCTTTTAAAATAAGAAGGGCTCTTAACAGCAAGTTAAAATGTTGTACTGAAACTTCAAAGAGTCTATTAATATGCATAAGTTATGGCCACAAGTTAAATTACCAAGAACTGAATGGACTAACAGAGAAGCTGGTAAGGATGTGAAAGAGCTCCACCTTGGGATTTCTTATTAATGTGGCCGAGAGTCAGAAATTCTGTAGTGCTGGGGCAAGGTGTAAGAGAGATAATTTTAGCATTTTTGGAACTTGTGGCAGGACATGAAATAACATGTATCTCAAGAATTATAAAGGCAATATGAAAAGGTAGCAGTTCTTAATTCTTAAAGGACATAAATATAACCTTGTGAATAATTACCCTTAAAGGGGGCAGGGGCTGGAGTCTTGATGTAATTTAATTTGCAAATAAAAACTACCCAAGGGAATTGAGGCAAAGAACGTGGATATCAAAAACCATCTGATTACCAGACTACAGTTAAAATTCAAGGGGACAGACGCTATTTTAGAAGTATTGGATATTTGACAAACCCAACCAGTGGTTAGTTTCCTACATTTGTATTTTCTGTAGATGGAAGTAGCTAGGAGGAAAAGCAAATTAGTAATTTAGGCACAGCTCTTATATATTATGACATATTTACAATAAAGCTGGGAAATCAGTTTTCTCACTTTTGAGGTAAGAAAAAAGTTACAATTGCATATATATCAATTGAGATTTCAATGTCTAAGATCTCTCTTTAGACATATTTTAGAAAGAACATTTCTGACCAAATTTGTAGAATAAGCAGTTTTAAAAACCATTTGTACTTGAATCAGTTACAAATTGTTTTTACCAAGTGTAATTAGCATTGGGTCCAAATTCATAAATGCAAATAGGTTTTCAGCCTCACTAGAGTACAGGTATCTTAAATGATACTTTTAGTATCTCTAGAGAAGGCCTTTAGTTTTCTTTTCAACTGTAGGTTTACCTGCCAGGAAAAAACTGAATAGTTTCTTCCTGTTCTGTTCACTTCATCAAAGTCCAATAAAGGAATTAAATGAAGCGACAGTATTATATACTGTTACCTAGATCTTGACCTAGTAATTGATTTGATATCCTTCTTGTCGTCATCTAATTTCTTGTCCTCAGAAGATTTCGTGTCTTGCAGGTTCTCATCGCCCTCGTCATCAGATTTGATCTCAGAGCTGCCAGAGGACACGCTCTGGCCCTGCAGTCCTGGTGGCATGCCTATGGGAAAAAAAAACGAAACCAGGTGACACATCTACAGAAGACTTAATGCAGAGACACGTACACCCCAGACTGCAGAGCTGCCAGCTATACCATTCATACTGCTGAACTGTGATCCTTCTGTCACTTTTCTCCTGCTATTTGGTGAAGTTTCAAAAATGCACCTGCGGAAACAAGTTTTCCCTGCATTGGCTCTGAGGTTAAATTCTATTTTGCAATCTTTTGGAGTAGATGGTAATTTCACTGTCTACAAAACATCAACTTAATTGCAATGAAAATCATAATCATGAAAATCACACACCTCAATGTTCTGATTAAGAACCCAAGTAAATATCAGCTATTATATTGAGTTTCTTCCATATGCAATGATTTAATAGAAAAAATATCCTTAAAATATAATTCCTAGGGAGTTTGCTAAACATGTGCAGTCAAGACTTCAATAGATACCCTAATGATATTCTGAAATTAGGCTTCTCTTATCCTCAAGGAGTAATCACAATTTTTAAATGGTACATATGGAAAGCAGTTGGCTGCTCACTGAAGAAATTTCTGTCTTCATCACTGCTCAACTTTCAAGATCACAATATCTTTTAAAACCTGGTCATACTGTAGCAATTTATTTGAAAAGTAGAAACATGTCTATGGAGCATTTTCCTTTACCTGTAACCTGTATTGTTTAGCACTTGCTACTCAAAATTTGGTCTGTGGGCCAGGAGCACCCGCATCGCCTGGGAGTACTGGAAATGCAGTTCCAGACCTACTGAATCAGAATCTGCCTTTGGTAAGATCCTCAAGTCATGCTTACACACCTTAAAGTTTAAGAAATGTTGATTCAGGACAAAGGCTCTTTAAAAGAAGGGGTCACCAAATGACTGCTCTTCAGATAACAGTGGGCACACGTACCCGTAATTATCATGAACACCCAGGTTTGTATAATGTGCAGATGAAACGTTTATCCTTATTTCTGTGGTAGTGTTATCATTTTTACATTAGATGTGCTGGGAATGAGAAGACCAATGTCTAAGCACTCTCTAGTCACCTGGTCAGAAAATCACACCGGGAAGGTGGGTTCCAGGACGTGTCCCCTAAGTACAGCTCCCCGGGGTGGTGAAAAGCCACTGGAGTCAGTGGTTGAGGCAACTGCTCCCGGGCAGTCGGGAGATGGCTCCAGGGCAAACGTCACCCAACCGAGCCCCACATTTTAAATGTACCTACATTTCCTTCAATCTTAAAACAACAAAAATGATTTCCTTCCTTCCTATTCATTTGGAAACATCATTTTCAGGCTATAACTAACCATATTAGGGGACCTGAATGAGTAAAATGTGGAAATAGCTAAAATAAAATTTCCTCTCATCAGTCTGTTATCTCATTCCCTGCTGAAATGGTACCAGGATTTCAGAGGATGTTTGAGGAAAACAGTTACTGAAGAAACACAATTAGCTGGCTACATTCTAAATACTTTCCCATTTACTTACCATTTTTGTACCAAATTTGATTCTTGGTTCTCTGCCAGTGCTTCCTGAGGGATGAATGCCAACTAAGTAAGCTTGGGATCAACTCTGGGTCTACTATCCTTTACATGAGGTCAGGACTGCCCTTCTCCTTTCTCGGCCGACCTACCTCTGTAAGGGTCCTGGGGTGGGTTCAAATCAGGGGAAGTTGCTGACTGGACAGGAAGCTGCGGGACCGGAACTTGGTTTGGCACAAGAGAATGGCTGCCTCTCAGGGCCACGCCATCCTCACGATGGGCCCCAACCTGCAAGGGTGAGAGGAACCATGGAGTTTAGTGGGTGCCATCACTATTTCCAGGGGCCAGCAAGGACCTAAGGAAGGAAGACTGGCCTTTGAAGAACAATACTCCCCAAAGCTTTTCACTAGAGGGCGCTGAAGGACCGCACATGCACCTATAGTCCCCTGCAAAAACACTTAACACTCAGTAAGATGCCGTGCTGTACATTCAGTGACAAATATGGCAGAGTAGCTCAGGCAGGTAAAACGTCAAATTGTCTCCCAGGGTGCTGCAGTGGAGCGCACTGATTCGTACCCATCTGTCTTCTATCATGTCCGCCAACAGATCTGACAATTATCTTAATGCCCATATGCTTAATTGTGGGCTTCTCAATTCCCCCATTGCTATCGGAAATCCTACAGGAATTTCAATTTGGCATTCGACTTTCATTTCAGGGGATAAGATTCTCAGGCCTGCCATTTTTTTTTTCCATAATGCCAGCTAAGCCTCTGACAGCGGAAGCTACAGCAGTATGGGATGTAGCCCCTGCTCGGTACAAATATAATAAAATGTCACCTGGCTTTCCAAAACTGGCAGCCCATTCCAAATTAATGTTTACTGTATTTCATCAGCTGCTGAGTTCCAAATCCAAAGGGGGACCGTTTCTGCCAATGCTACCACACCGGAAAATGTACCAATAAAGGTTTTATTAAACACACCAGTAATGCCATCATTGCCATGCAAAGATGTTTGGACATTTTTCCATTTTTTTTTTCCCACTATTCTGATCCTAGAAAGACACCATATTGTAAACATGCTTTATGCTTCCAAGAATAAAATTATAGAGTACAGCATGATGACTTGGTCTAAAAAAAATACTGCTGAGATTTTATTAACTACTACTACCTGCTCTGGGGTCCAGAAATTTTGAACTTGGGGCACTGGGACGGCAATTGCTGACTTTACTATAGCATTAGCTTTAAAGCCAAACCATCAAGTATTTGAAAACCAAGAAGAAGGTGAGTGACTTGAATTTTCATTTTCATTACCAAGTAGTTGCTTTCTTAATCTACTGTTAGGTGAATGTTTATGTAGGATAATTGGGTCTGACGCAAATAATATTTATCTGTGAATTTATGCTATGACTCAAACATTTTATTTTTCCAATGAAAATATAAAACCACAAAGTAGATTTCTTTACTCTTTTGCTATTAAATGTTTTCAAAGTATTTCTAAGGAATGAAATAAGAATCTCAATCAACAATAATCAATTCACAGAATTGAATAAAGCACATGCTATCTAAAAGCAACCCGAGATAAAGTATCACTTTTATATACTTCATAACAATACAGAAGAAAATAATTCAGGGGAGGGAATATATCAATCCTACTAATTATTCACATTCAAAAATAGAGAAAGAACAGTAAAGGATTTGAACACTTGTGAATTTCAGGAATTATAAATGAACTGGAAGTATAAATTGTAACCGAGAGATCTGAGGGGTCCGGTGCTGTCTGCCACCTGTGTGTCTGTGTCTCTTTCCAGAACATTCTGAATGGTGGTTATTAAGCCTCTGTGTGGGTTCCCTGAATGTACTGAGACCTTGATTATCTGCTGAAGCAACCAATCTCATTTTCACTATGGGTTGGGCTTTCTTGTAGATTCCACCCACTAGCTCTAGTTTCAACTTCTGGAATTTCCATGGAATACATGCTAATTCTTTTCACATATTTAACACCAATGCCATGCCACTCCGCTCTTTCATGTGCAACTGAAGTCTGTTCTCTTAGAGCAGACCATGCCCACTCAGTTCCTCCAACCATTTCTCCTTCACTCTTTGCATATATAAATATTTTTCCTTCTGAACAAAAGAGTGATAGTGCCTTTCCATTCAGGTTTTGATTTGCCGTTTTTTTCTATCTGTGCATTTAAAAGATTGATTCAATTGATGATTATCCCTTCAATCTAAGATGTCAACTAGCAAGCATGAATTTTACAGACCTTGATCAAATGGTAGCTCTTTAAGTCTGTCAATCAATATTAACCTAAATAATTACCTTAGTGCTGATTCATATTTATTGGTATTCCCAATGGATTTAATTTCTTGAATTTCCACAAAGGATGATTCTAAGTTGTAATCACTGTGGGAACTACAGATTTGATCATAGCAGAGAATAAATATAATGATATGTTAGAATCATTTTATTAAAATTCTCAAGCCTTCTTTATAGGCATCAGCGATATAATTTAAGGTTAATATTTGGTTTTTCTCTTAAACATATTCAACATTAATCCTGAAATTTCTTTTTCCCCCTCTAGAACACATTTAGCTTTTATACGAAGAAACAAATCCACAACCAATTATTTCTGTATTTTCTTTGCCTCAGCTCTTATGAAAAACAGTGTGAGCAAAAAGAATATACTAACAACAGCCAACAAATCTAGATTCTAAGTACAACTGGTTTCTTTGTTAGCTACGTTACCATGAGGAAGTTACTCAAATTCAAAATGGAGCAAATAACACTAAGTGCAGAGAGTAAGTCCTAGGTTTATTGCAAGGAGTAGCAACATGCAAAATAACTGGTACACATTAATTATAGATATTTTTATGTGCTCCAACTGAAAATACTCACACACTACATAAAAATAAATATCTATATTGTTCAAGAATCCTCAGCTCTCGTTACCTTCTCCATTCATCACCTTTGCACTTTTGTCCCTATTGTTCATATCCATTTTATTTTGAAACATTCTCCTGTACAATAACAGTAAAATCATGAACAATATTAAATATCTGAAGATATATAGTTGTTGCAATTCTATTTTTATTTGGATTTTAGGCATACATTTTACTTTATTTTCTACAGATCATCTCAGATGACCTCAAACAATCTATCAACTATTGTCCTTAAAGGAAGTTGGGGACAATATCACCCTCGAAGCTTTCAAGCTTCTTTTGTAAACAGTGTCTATTCTGGGTCAAATGAGTGGCTGGTGACATGTCCAGATCCATGTGGTGATGAGCTTGATGCTCCAGGATCAATTCGATCATCTGTGGCTGTGAAACAGTATTCCAATTTGAAAAATTAGCTTTGCTTTGCTTACTTCTTTAGCCACAGACAGCATGTCCTAACCCTAATTACTTCTCTTTCGGCAACATTATTTCTGGTCACATGAGAGACAAGGCAAGAAAGACAGTGAACAGTCAGCACGCATTGATCACTGGACTCAGGAATTAACACTGCCATTTATATCTACAAAGGTCAGGGCTTGTTCACTTTCCACATAATAAATATGTAACAACGTAGTTTTGAAAAAGCAGATTTTTCAAGCTACAGATAGATTCTAAAATAGTGCCTATGTTTAGAAAATCCATACTTCATTAAAGTCCTACTTTGAATACCTTTTTATCTAGATAAGCAATAATTTAAAGTTAAAAGTCAATCTGTGAAAACAGTTATGAGTATTGATTGTAAACTTTTTTGGCAAGCTTTAAGAATAATCTTATAAGAACATACTGTGCGGTTTTAGATGTATTTATGCTAAAAACAAAGCTAGAGTAAACATCTAAAATTAGTCAATAATTGTTAATTGATGGATCAGTGTACACTGATTAATTCAACAAATATTGACTAACCTAATCCACGCTTGTCACATTACAGGGTTCTTGGGACAAGGTGGCTGGTGATTGTCTTAGATGTGGTTCTGGCCCTCAAGGAGCTTATAATGACCTTTTGTGGGGTTTTTGTGCATATATCAATTTAGAGCAGTAATTTTATCTTATTTTATTTTTTTAAGATTTATTTATTTATTTATACAAGCACTGGGTACTGTCAGAGGCGCGGGAGGGTGAGAGAATTCACTAGAGCCAGAGCGGGGAACAGAACAGGCAGACTGATGAAATACACTGCTGAGGGGAGCAGCGTGTACAGCAGGAGAGTCTGCGCACCATGTAGGACCCTCACTGGTGGCCGGGGATCGAACCGGCGCTGCAGAGGCTGTGGGCAACCGCTGTGCCACCAGGGGAGGCCCCTAGAGCAGTAATTTTAATATTAAGGACTAGAGAGTCATTGAAGCTTAGGATTTATCATAAAGATTTCTGTGACCTAAGTTTTACTCCATGTGTCTCAAGGACCATTCTAGCCACTCTCCTCCTTCTGCTGATATCTCTGCTTTTCTCTGGCTTCTGCCCCCTTTCCCAACTCTCTCTCCTCAGGACTATGTCCTGGGTATCTCCTGTATCCCCTGGTATAATTTCTCAGCTTCTGTACCTGCTGCTAGCTCCCCATCTATCTTAGTATTTGTCAGTTCAGAATCCCAGTATCATTTGCTGGCCAGCTCATCATTTAAGCACACTTGGGCCATCCTAAGAATGGACCACACAAAGATCAGGTGTCTCCATTCCTGCTCCAGTGAGCTGCAAAAGAAGAAAGGGAGGCCAGATCATGTGGCCCAAACATGGCCTGCCCCTTTTTCCAGGCCCCACAGATCATGATTCTTATATGCAAATACCTAAGTAAAATTGCATCTTGGGTCAAGATATAGCCAAATTCCAACTCAGCCATATCATTCTCCTGTGTGAACTCATCACTGGTAATAATTAAACACCTTCAGGTGTGTACTACTTCTTCTGAATCACAGAAGTACCACGTAATTTCCACTTTGTGAGGACAGGATTGATATATTAGAGGTGCTTTTCAACTACAGTATGTAGACTTTTAGGGCTTAGAGAGACTTGGAGCTCAATTAGGCCAAACTCTTGATTTTGCAGAGGTAAAGGATAAGGCTAAAATGGCTGTGATTTAGGTAAAGTCTAGGCAGAGGACTAAGAGAGATTTTGAACTCAGGAAACTTCTAAGAATCTCAAATAATTTGGATATATATTTGTATTGTTAATTATACACACATATTATACATACATACATTATGACAGCTGAAGAGCACAATTACCACTTTCTGGAGTTTTGGTTTTAACAGTGTGTGTGTTTATGCATGTGCATACGTGTTTATATACCCATCTACAGAT